TCCACTCCTGGAGGACCAGCAGCTGCGCTCCAGGTGTAGCCATGAGCCCCTGAAGGCCTCCCTCTGAAGGGCCTGGTGCGTGGTGGAGATGGCCAGAGCTGTCGAGCTGAGCACAGAGAAGACAGCCTTTTACACTCAAGATGGGCACCAACCCCTCAGCAGCCTGTGTCACCTCCTCCCTGGAACCATGCAACCAGGTCTGGCGGAATGGCGGCCGGTCCCACCGTATGTGTGGAAGTTGAGGACCGGGCCTCTGGCAACCAGGATGGTGCTCTGGGAATTGCAGATGGGAACAATGTGGCACTGACAGGAAGACAGACACACGGAAAGGATGGAAGACCACCCCAACCTCTCAGTTCCACTCAACTCACTCTAAACCAAGGGAATGGAAGTGGGAGAGGGATGAGTTTGCCAAGTGGTCCTGGAAGAGCTGAGCATACCTGCGGTTAAAAGTCACCGAGCCCGTCACGCCCACACACCCTCACTACAGTCATGCTATACTCCACAGCTAAACTGTGACACTCCTAGAGGAAAACAGATGAAATTCTTTCTGACCTTGAGTTCAGCAAAATTCCATCAATGTAACACCAAAATCGAAGTCTACTGAGAAAAACTGACAAACGGGCTTTATTAAAATATCTGATTCCCGGAAGACATGCACAAAGTATTTCCACATCACATGTCGTACCCAGGACCCACTAAGAGCTACAGAGCTGGAGTCTACAGTTGGGCTAATGATCACCACAAGTTCTTCACCCAGGGGGTACGGTGGCACATGAGCACAGAAAGCTGCAGGATGGCCTCGGCAGGCTGGAAACAGAGCCCCACGCCGCCACGGAAAGCTGCACCAGAGGGAAGCCTGAGGTCAGCATGGCCAATGGGAGGCTGGAGAGTGCGCACACCCCCCAAAAATCAGCCGGTTCTCTTCACGAGATACATCAAGACGGTGGTACATGGTGGCACACAGTCAGGCTTGGGCACGAAGTTGATGAGTTCAAGGACAGCCTGGGYCACAGAGCAAGATCTGGAATAAAGAAAGKTTTCATAAACACCCATCACTCAAGCAGCGCCAGTGCCCGCTGCCACCCAGGGGAAGGAAAACACATGCTCTCCTAACGTGGTGGAGGGAGGGTGCTCTCCCCAAGAGCAGTCCTCTCCAAACGASTAAGAGAGGAGCTGGCTGTGGGGACAGAGTCTCAGTGCTGAAAACTCACCTATGAATGTTCATGTCCCCTCACAGGAGAAGGAGAGCGGCACGAGCACCTCCACGTCTGCACACGGGTGAGTCAGAGCTTACTGGAGTCAGCCACAGCCCAAGACGCCAGGGGTCTCTACACGTCAGGGTAGATGGAGACACGCATCCACGACGAGACGTGTCTAGTGCGGGGAAGCACTCACACTTCACCACAGAAGGTCCTCCTGCAGCCTCCCTGTGGGCTCCGTGCTGCCACAGAGACACCTGCTCACTCACACTGCACCACCCGTCCCCGAGGTCTGCCCCACTGCCACACCTTTTGCTCCTTCATGGATAACATGTTCAAGCTGGTGACTCTGTGGGCCCATTTTCTGGGTGGGTCCTGGGGTTCTGGTGGCCTCCTCATCTCCTCCCACTTCAGACCTTCCAGGAAGAGCCATCTGCCCTCTGGTCTAGCACCATTGTGTCCCTGAGGCTGGGCACTCTCTTAGCTGAGGTGTCCTCCCCTGCAGGCCTGATCTTTCTGGGTCAGGGCTCACGGGGACCTCCCTTCATGTTTTACCAACAGTGTCTTTTGATAACCTGGGCTTTATCTGCCATGGTTCTCAACTCTTCCAGCTTCTATCCATTACCCAATTCCAAAGCCATTTCCATGTTTATAGGTGGTTGTTAGAGCAGTCCCCACCCCACCCATTTCCTTGTATCAAAATATGTATCCCGTTGCTAAGGCTGCAGTCACAAAGTACCACCCACAGTGTGGCTGAAAGCAGCGGGTAGGTAGGGCTCAACCTCTGAGACCGGAAGCTCAAAGTCGAGCCTTCACCGGGCGGTTCCTTCTGAGGGTCTGAGGGAAGGCTTCACCAGAGAACATCTACACTTCCACGACCCTGCACCTCAAGGCCCCTCAGGGCCCTGTTCTCCCTGTGTCTCTTCACACCATCTTCTCTCTGTATGTGATGTCTCTGTGTCAAATCTGTCTTTCATAGACCACCAGTCATGCTGGATTAGGGCCAACCCTAATGACCTAATTCCATCTTGATACCTCTGTTCACCCTGTCTCCAAATAAGGGCACATTTGGGATCCTGAGGGTTAGACTCCAACACACCATTTCACACAAGGCAGGACTCAGTCTGTAATAGTGAGTATGTCATATGCTCCATGCTTCTTGATGTCTTTCCCTCAGGGCACAAGTATGTATGTATGTATTATGCTTATAATTTAAAAAGCTATGATAAAAACAGTTTTCATCTGTTTTAAACATTTAAGTGTTTGGATATGGCATTCCTAACCTGTAAAAACAACAAATTTCATCTAGAATTAATATAATTTTACATAAAATAAACTCATTTATTCAAATCCTCACAGACGAGTACACACACACATAACACACATGCATGCATGCACACACACACACACCCCTGCTCACAGCCCCCACCTCTCAGCTAGAGTCCCCTCCACCCTCCCGCAGGCCCTCCCCCAGCTCACTGGGGAACCCGACTGCTGAGCAGGCTGGGAGCACTGGCTCTGGTCCCTCAGGGAAGCGCCCTGCACACAGCAGCCCGGCCCTGCTCTGCGCCCCTCCATCCAGTGCCATGCCGGCCACAGCTCATGGGGGGACTCTGCCACCACCAGAGAAGGTTCTTCTACTGAGGGTGGAGCCATGGCCTTGCCAGGGAGGGGGACCAAGGGGCAGCAGCCCAGAGACAGGGACAGAGAGGGAGGACAGGTGAGGGAGGGTACTCTCTTGCCTGGCAGAGGGAAGACCCACRCASGAGTTTCTGTGAACTGCTCCAGCACCTTCTGGAGGCCCCAAGGCYCAGAGTGATTAAAACATGTGCCACCATGAGTCAGAGCACCCAGCTGGGTCCCTTCTTCCCACCCAGTCGCCCTGGATCACAGACGGACATTTACTTGGGGGGGGGCAGTGCCTGATTCTTAATTGTATCCATAACACACACTCGTGAACATCAAGCACAGCAGTGGTATATAAGGTGCAACCCCTCCCCTTCCTTCCTGATGCCACTCAGCACCGAGGGTGGGTGCAGCCACAGGTGTCCTCCTGTTTGGAACACATAGTCACTCACACTGAGAGATTAAATTACACACAGGCATTCATCTGTACCTTCCTTTTTTGTTTTCTCCAAAATATAACATGGATAACTTTCTAGTTACTTATGGACACATTTTTTTTTTCTCATTAGGAACATCTACACTTCCATGGTATGAATACATTTTGATCCAATCACCCATTCTCTCTTGATGGACACTGAGATGATGGCTATGCTTGGCTTTTGAGAAGAGTTTGTAGACAAGTCTTTGTACCTACATTGTCAGTTCTGGTGGCTTGGTTTCTGAAGGATGTCTAAGTCAAAGGGTCTGTGCATCTTAATTTTTGTAGTGCAGGGGACAAAACCCAGGGCCTTGCACATCCACACCCTCTACCAAGGATCCACCCAGCCCAGGCCTGTGCATTTTCAATCTTCATAGTCTTTCTGATTACTTTCTAAAAAGGTCAGAGTATTTGGTAGTTTCACCCACCGCGTCACACTTTTCAGCACAAATACCAAAAGCATATGGAGTTTTATCCACACAAAACAAAGAACTGCATTGTGTGTGTTTCTCTTAATATGTAATGTACATCTTTTTACCTGTTTTGATCATGGCAAGTATTTTTTTAAATGTGAATTAGGTTTTCAAATATTCTGTCCACTTTTAGTGAGGCACTTTTGTGTATTTCTCATCAACTGTTAGATCTCAAATGCAGGTGAGGGATATGAATTCTAATTCTGAACTTTCAAACCTATTTCTTCCAGACTTTAGTATTTACTCTCCCTGTGGCCGAGGCCCCTCCTGCCTAGGCCTTCCCCAGTGCTGGAAGGAGAGGCAAGGCCACCACGCCTGGCCACGCTTTCATCTGGAGAACGGGGGCGCGGTGGCTTTGCAGCGTAGGGGTCATGAGCTGTTCCGGGCTCAGTCTGTTCAAGTCCCTTCTGACGAGGCCCCAGGCCGCGTCCTCCTGCTCGGTAACTCTCCTCTCGCCCGTTTCCACCTCCAAGCCGTCTGGGATCTGCCCGTGGTCAGGCCGCGGCCAGGCCTCCTGGGCTCCTTCCTGGCCTCGGCATGGACCTCACTCCCAGGTTCTCCCGTACAAGTCCACGTCATCTCCCCCAGACCTCGAGACCTGGGGCGGGGGCCCGAGTTCCGGTCACCGCCCGCCTCGCGGAGGTCCCCCCAGCCGCCCGCCCCAGCGGCGGGGCTCGGAACGCAGAGCTGGCCTCCCCGGAAGTTAGTATCCCTCCGCAGGACGCCGCCGGAAGTTAGGCGGACCCTCCCCACGCCTTAGCCGGAAGTCCCACCCCTCCCCCGGAACTCCGCGGGCGTGTCCCGCAGTGGGGGGCCGGCGCGGAGGTGCTCCCCGCGGGGCCCTGGTGCACGGGGCCCGGGACGCGCGCCTCGGCACCTTCTCGCGTGCGCGCGCCGCCTCGGGTGGGGCGCTCAGTCGGGGGAGGGCGCTCAGTCCGGGACGGCGCTCAGTCGGGGGGGGGCGCTCAGTCGGGGGGCGCTCAGTCGGGGAGGGCGCTCAGTGGGCCCCCCCTCAGTCGGGGGAGGGGCGCACAGTCGGGGGTGGGGGCGCACAGTCGGGGAGGGTGCTCAGTCGGGGAGCGTGCGCTGTGGGAGGGGAGCCGTGTCTTCCGCGGACCAGCAGGTCCTGCTGGGCCTCCCGGCGGCGGCGAGGGCGACAGGGTCCTGGAAGCTGGGCTCCAGGCGACCTGGGGGCAGCGTTTTGAGCCCGTGAGGAGCAGTTTGTCTCCCGCCTTCGCCATGACCTTGCAGACTTGCAGCTTCGTTCTCAGGATGACCAAATCAAAGAGAAACTTGAAAATCAAAATCCCCCAATGAAAAGTCACCTGCAGCCCACTGCCACAGAGCTGTGGCTGACATTTCCATCGGCATCTTTCAAGTCTTCCATTCTCATGATTTTTCTGTGCGATAAATGAATTTTTTTCTTTCATAAAATCATATTGCACAGTGCTTTACTAGCCTACTGTTGATACCTCTATTCTGTAGTTTTTCCTGTCTAATCCAAAGATATGAATGGTTTTAAAATATTCTATTTTTGTTGATTTTTTTTCATCTTTGTTGATTTTTTTTTTCATTTTCAATAGAGTCTTTATGTCTCCAACAGGAAATCATCTAAAGTTTATTGAAAACACTAGTGATGTGTAAACTGTGATATGAATGTCACGGCTTCTTTTGATGTGGTGGGCAGCAAAATACCAGCAGCCCTCTTCCAATTTGGGAAATGCTCTGGGCAACCTCTGATTTGGATGCAGACAGGTAAAGCATAGTTGGCCACTCACGAACTATCTTTGGCCCACCCCTGCCGTAGCGCGTCACACCTCAAGTCCTAAGATCATTGTGTATGTCTAAATCACGTGACATTATGCAGTGACAGGAGTGAGTGCCTGTGAAATACAAGTATGTCAGCCACAAGTGCTGCTCATTTAACTGTGTCTTTCCAGTGGTAGTTGGAATGCTCAGTGGGAGTATTACTTCTGGCCTCTTTATGAAATATAACCTGGACTGGACGTCTAGAATTGGACCAGATCTGAGGGCATTGTAAACAAGGAGTTGATGATATGTATGAAGATGCTTCTTGTCTAATTTTGAATACTTCCCAGTCAGCTGCTGTCCATTATGTGACTTGAGTTGGTTTTCCATTACAAAACAACCAACCACAAACACAATGGCATAGGTGACATTAGGCATCTCACAGTGCCCATGGGTCAGAAATCCCAGGGAGTGAAGCTGGATCACTTATTCTACAACTCACAAGACATTGGTATATTGCCAGAATTTCGTTCCATATTGGAGGTTGTAGGGCAGCTGTACTTATTTTGTTGTTGTTGTTCCGATTAGTTATACAGGACAGTAGAATGTATTTTGACATATCCTACAAAAATGATATCATACAAAACTTCTCAATCTTCCAGTTGTACGTGATGTAGAAGCACATCAGTCGTGTCATCATATAGGTACATAGGGTGATAATGTCCAATTCATTCTACTGTCTTCCTACCCTCATACCCCCACCCCTCCCTTCACTCTCCTCTGTCTAATCCAAAGTACCTCTATACTTCTATAGCTGTGCCCCCATTTTGAATTAGCACCCACATATTAGAGCAAACACTCAGGCTTTGTTTTCTGGGATTGGCTTATTTCCCATAGCACGGTATTTTCCAGTTCCATCCAATTACTGGCCAATGCCGTAATTTCATTCTTCTTAAAGGCTGGGTAATATTCCATTGTGTATGTATACACCACAATTTCTTTGTCCATTCTTCTGTTGAAGGGCACCTAGGTTGGTTCCGTGTTTTGGATATCATGAATTTAACTACTATAAACATGGATGTAGCTGTGTCACTGTAATATGCTGATTTTAAGTCCGTTGGGTATAAACTGAGGACTGGGACAGCTGGGTCAAGTGGTGGTTCCATTCCAGATTTTCTGAGGAATCTCCATACTCCTTTCCAGAGTGGTTGCAACAATTTGCAGTCCCACCAGCAACGTATGCGTGCACCTTTCCCCCACATCCTTGCCAACATTTATTGTTGCCTATATTCTTGATAATTGTGATTCTAACTGGAATATGATGAAATCTCAGTGTAGTTTTGATTTGCATTTCTCTGACTGCTAGAGATACTGAACATATTTTTATGTATTTGTTGATTGATTGTATTTCTTCTTCTGTGAAGTATCTGTTCAGTTCCTTTGCCCATTTATTGATTGGGTTCTTTGGTTTGTGTCTGTGTGAAGTTTTAAATTCTCTATATATCCTGGAGATTAATGCTCTATCTGAGGTGTGTGTGTAAAGGTTTTCTCCTATTCTCTAGGCTCTCTCGCCACATTATTGATTGTTTGCTTTGCTGAGGAGAAGCTTTTTAGTTTCATTCCATCCCACTTATTGATTCTTGACTTTTATTTCTTGCACTTTAGGAGTCTTGTTAAGGAAGTCAGGTCCTAAGCCAACATGGTGAGGATCTGGGCCTACTTTTCCTTCTGTTAGGTGCAGGCTGTCTGTTCTAGTGCCTAAGTCTTTGATCCACTTTGAGTTGAGTTTTGTGCAAGGTGAAAGATAGGGGTTCAGTTTCATTTTGCTACATATGGATTTCCAGCTTTTCCAGCACCATTTGTTGAAGATGCTGTGTTCTCCAGTGAATGTTTTTGGTGCCTTTTTAAAGTATGAGATAACTGTATTTATGTGGGTTTGTTTCTGTGTCTCCTATTCTGTACCATTGTCTGTTTTGGTGCCAATACTATGCCATTTAAAAAAATTTTTTTTTTCAGTTGTAGTTAGACACAGGACCTTTATTTATTTATTTTTAGGTGGTGCTGAGGACCGAAACCAGGGCCTTGCATGTGCTAGGCGAGTGCTCTACCGCTGGCCACAACCCCAGCCCCACCAGGCCATTTGTGTTACTGTAGCTCTGTAGAATAATTTAAACTCTGCAATTGTGATGCCTCTTGCTTCACTTTTCTTGCTAAGGATCRCTTTAGTTATTGTGGGTCTCTTATTTTTCCAATGAATTTCATGATTGCCTTTTCTGCTTCTATGAAGAATGTCAGTGGGATCTGAATAGGAATTGCATTTAATCTGTAGCACGCTTTTGGTAGTGTGGCCGTTGGACAATGTTAATTCTGCCTGTCCAGGAGCATGGAGATCTGTCCATCTTCTAGGTCTTCTTCAATTCTTTCTTGAGTGTTCTGTACTTTTCATCGTAGAGGTCTTTTTCTTCCTTTGTTAGATTGATTCCCAAGTTTTTTTTTTTTTTTTTGAGGCTGCTGTGAATGGGGTAGTTTTTCTAATTTCTCTTTCAGTGGGTTTATCACTGATGTATAGGGATGCATTTGATTTATGGGTATTAATTTCATATCCTGCTATTTTGCTGAAGTTTTCTGGTGTACTTTTTTGAATCTTGTATATATAGCATCATGTCACGGGCAAATAGTGATAGTTTGAGTTCATCTTTTCCTGTTCGTATCCCTTTAATTTCTTTCATATCACCCTGATACCAAAACCAAACAAGGATGCATCAAGGACAGAAAACTTCAGACCAATATCCCTGATGAACATAGATGCAAAAATTCTGAATAAAATTCTGGTAATTTGCATACAAAAACATATTAAAAAGATAGTGCACCACGATCAAGTGGGGTTCATCTCAGGGATGCAAGGTTGGTTCAACATATGGAAACCAATAAATGTGACTCATCACATCAATAGACTTAAAGACAAGAATCATATGATCATCCAATAGATAAACAGAAAAATAAAAAGTAATTGACAAAATACATCATGTTCAAAACACTAGAAAAACTTGGGACAGTAGGAACATACCTCAACATTGTAAAAGCTATCTATGCCAAGCTGAAGCCCAACATTATTATACATGGTGAAAAAATGAAACCATTCTCTCTCAGAATTGGAGCAAGACAGGATGTCCTCCTTCATCACTTCTATTCAACAGAGTCCTGAACACCCCAGCCAGAGCTCCACTTGTTAACCCCTTATAGGATGCAGACAATTCCTTTTTTCTCATGCTATTCTCCTTGCCTCCTTGATTTTTAAAAAATAGTTCTTTTTTAGTTCTTGATAGACCTTTATTTTTTATTTTTGAATTTATTTTTTAGTTTTAGGTGGACACAATATTTTTATTTTTTTGTGGTGCTGAGGATTGAACCCAGTGCCTTGCACATGCCAGGTGAGCACGCTACCGCTTGAGCCACATCCCCAGCCCAGGCCTTTATTTTTATTTATTTATATTTCGTGCTGAGAACCAACCCAGTGCCTCACACACGCCAGGCAAGTGCACTACCACTGAGCCCCAGCCCCAGCCCTGCTGCCTCCTTGATTCTGAAGTCAGCAGTGACAGGCTATTTTCTGAATCTCCTCTCATCTTCTGAATCTCTCAAGTCTCTTCCTCATTTCTCTGTAAATATTCAAATTATTACATGGCCTTACATAGCTAATTCATATAATCCTGCTCAATTACTTTCCTAGGAATGCTACAGCAGTTTCTACTACCTTGGTGGCTTAAAACTGCAGGAGTTTCGGTCCTGGAGACCAGAAGTCTAACAAGGTATCAGTAGATCCTTGCTGCCTTCGGGACACTGTGCAAGAGTGTCTGCACTCACCTCCTGGAGTGCTGGGCGGCTCTTGGGATCCCATYACTTTTGGAAGTGCCACTCTAATCTGTTGTCTGACCTTCATTGTTATCTCCGTGTCCTCTCCAATTCCCTCCCCAGTGCTGAACGTCAGTCATTGGGTGTAAGGTCCCCCTTGATCTGAGTTTAATTTCATCTCAAGATCATCCTTAGCAGGTTACTTTCCTAAGCACTCTGTTTCCAAATCAGGAAACTCTGCGAGAGTCTGAGTGGTCATAAATTCAGAAGAATACATTTCATGCCACCCTACTGCCTATATTAAGGTCATTGATCAATAATAACCTTAATTCCATCTGTTAGGCCCAATGTGACCCATTCACAGGTGTGACATCATGGGCCAGGATTAGGGAAGGGGAGCTACATTCTGCTGCCACATAGTTTATGACCACTCACCGACATGCAGTACATACAATTGCAATTTTTTTTTTAAGAGAGAGTGAGAGAGGAGAGAGAGAGAGAGAGAGAGAGAGAGAGAGAGAGAGAGAGAGAGAGAGAGAGAGAGAGAGAGAGAGAGAATTTTTAATATTTATTTTTTAGTTCTCGGCGGACACAACATCTTTGTTGGTATGTGGTGCTGAGGATCGAACCCGGGCCGCACGCATGCCAGGCGAGCGCGCTACCGCTGAGCCACATCTCCAGCCCCTACAATTGCAATTTTTAATCACACTTTTTGAGTGGCCTATGTAGGAGGCACTGTTCTTAGCAATGGAAAAGGGAATTATATAGATAAGTCCCATCAAGAAATAAATACCCAATAATTACAAAGGTTTGTGAAATGTGTTTTGAAGACAAAGAAGTAATAAAGAAAGGTGTTGGGAGGTGGTCTTAGCAAGTGTCGTAGAGTAGAGGCCCCTGTGGAGTAAAGAGGCGTCCACGGTGAGGCTCAGAGCAGCCAGTGCACAGGGCTCAGCCAGGCTTCCCAGCGTCCATCCAGAAACACTCAGCGCAGAGGTGAGTGTTGAGATCCAGGGTCTGAATCAGGAAGGCTAAAGTTAAATTTGGAGGGCCCAGTGAGGAGTTCTGATGTCGTTGAAAGATTTTCAGCAGGAAGGGACACTACTGGGTTCATGCTCTGGTACTGAGTGGCCAGTGGTTGGCCAGTGGAGCACAGGAAGATGCAGGGAGGCACCCAGGAGGACTGGCTGTGCAGAGAGATGGTGACTGTGGCCCTTGGCCCTGCCTGCCTTGACACGACCCTTTAAAGCATGCAAGGCTCTCTGCGGGAAGACAGTCCTGCCCACACTGCACCTTCCAACTGACTGTCTCTCTCTCCTGTGTCCAGGTCAAAACTCACTCTGTGACCCCCTGAGGCTGATCTCACCTCCCTCCTGAGGCCATCTGGCCACAGTGCTCCTGGCCACCTCCTGCTGGTGCACTCCTGGTGAGTCCCATGAGCAGTGAGCTCAGAGGCACCTGATAGCCTCCAGGAGGCCTCCAGGTGCTGAGACCAGTCCACGCCAGAGCTTCAGGACACTGCAGCCTCCAGGGGCCAGTCCTGGCTCCCTCCCCAGTGTGACGTGTGTCTGTCCTTCCTGCCCCTCCTCACAGAGCACAGATGTTCCTGCCAACTCTGATCTGCAGAGAGCTCCTCACCACAGGTGAGCTGGCCAGCTGGCACAGAGCTTTGAAGGAGGGGTCAGCACCCAGACAGGGGCTAGGCTCCCCTGGAGTGAGGCAAGGGCAGGGTTCTGGTGGACATGCTCTCTGGTGTTAAACAATGGTGTGTGTGTCTCCATGTGTGAGACTGCATTACTGTGAAGTCTGGGGTGCTTGTGGTGTGTACGGTGTGCATGTGCCGTGTGCATGTGTGCATGGTATAGAATGTGTGTATGTGTGTCCGTGTGCTGGGTGTGTATAATATTGCATGTGGTGTGTGTAACACAGTATGTCGAATGTAACATGGAGTGTGGAATGTGGTGTCCAACTGGCATGTGTGGTGTGGAACATGGTGTATGGTGTACACATATTATGGCATGCGGTGTGCAGCAGGCATATGGGGTGTTATGGAGTGTGTTCAGTAACATGGCGGGTGGTGTGTAACATGACATATGGTGCACATGTATCATGGTGTGTGGTGTGCAGAATGTATGTGGTGTGTAATGTGGCTTGTGGTGTGAAGTGTGGCCTATGGGGTGCACCCGGTAGTGTGTGGTGTACAGTGTGGCCTGTGGGGTATAATATGTAGTGTGGTGTGCAGCACGGCCTGTGGGGTATGGCATGGTCTGTGGGGTGCAGCGTGGTCTGTGGGGTACAGCGTGGCCTGTGGAGTACAGCATGTGGCCTGTGGCGTGCAACAGGTAGCCTGTGGCATGCAGCGTGGCCTGTGGTGTGCAGTGTGGCCTGTGGGGTGCAGCGTGTGGCTGTGGTGTGCAACGTGATCTGTGGTGTGGAGCGTGATCTGTGGAATGCAGTGTGTGGCCTATAGGGTGCAGCGTGTGGCCTGGGGGATGCAGCGTGGTCTGTGGGGTACAGCATGTGGCATGTGGTATGCAATGTGACCTGTGGGGTGCAGTAGGTGGTGTGTGGTGTGCAGTGTGGCCTGTGGGGTACAGTAGGTAGTGTGTGGATGCAGCGTGGTCTTTGGGGTACAGTGTGGCTTGTGGAGTGCAGTGTAGCCTGTGGTGTGCAGCGTGTGGCCTGTGGTGTGCAGCGTGTGGCCTGTGGTGTGCAGCAGGTGGTCTGTGGTGTGCAGCGTGGTCTGTGGTGTGTAGCTTGATCTGTGGAATGCAGCATGTGGCCTGTAGGGTGTAGCGTGTGGCCTGTGGGGTGTCCTGCTGCCCCATGCTGGACTTGGCCATCAAAAGTGACCCTGGGCCACCCTGCATGGCAGCAAGGGCCCGGGGTCTACCTTTCTGCCTGCGCATCCGGGGCCCAGGTTCCCAGGTGCCTGGGAAGTCCCCGTCGACGCCAGCTGTGCTGGTGAAACGACTCCCTGCATCAGTGACAAGCCTCTGTCCCCTGGCTTCCGCCCACCGAGACTCTGGTCTGAGGTGGGAAGCAGCAGCTCACGGACTGGGCACCTCCATCCAAGAACTCATGACTGCAGATGCCAGGGGGACTCCTGCGGGCCAGCCGCACCTCCAGGAGCAGGTCCGCAGGAGCACAGTGTGGCTGCAGGCAGGCCGCCTCCCTCACAGAGAGCACGGACCACAGCCAGCCCCGCCACAGTGTGGCACTCACGGCTTTGCCCAGGGCATCGGGGGCTTTCYGAGGCACCACAGGACATTTTTATGGGAGGAGGAGGTATCTAGAGCCAGCGATGAGCCCTGCCAGCCCTGAGTCACACACCAGCACCTGCAGAGTGAGGCTCCGCGGGTCCAGGGTCAGGCTCCCTCCACGGCCAGCCCTCCCTCGGCTCCTGGGCACACTGTTCCTCAGCCCAGAGGATGGACTGCAGCTCCCRCAGGATGGCTGCTGAGAAGGCGGCTCCTGCACAGAGAGGTGCTGGGGGTGAGGCACCCAGCACCTTCCAGCCAGGACTCTGGCCCCAGACCCATGGGTCCTTCATGGCCCGAGGACCCCTTCACTGCCTCCGTGGAATGACCTCTGTGAGTCTCCCCGGTCATCAGGCAGGACCAAGTCCATCCAGGTGGGACAAGCCTGGCCCGGTGGATTCTCCCCAGAGCCACTCTAGCTGGGGTCAGATGAGAGCTCAGCGCTGGKTACGCTGACGCTGGTCTGTGGAGGTGACGTGAATGACTGACAGGTTGCGGCCCATGCCCACGGCCAGCCCCAGCCGCCTGCTGCTGTGGGGCCACCTGTCGTGAGGACCTGACCCGTCCACTCCTGGAGGACCAGCAGCTGCGCTCCAGGTGTAGCCATGATCCCCCCAAAGGCCTTCCTTTGAAGGGCCTGCTGCGTGGTGGACAGACGGCTTCCCATTGTCCTTCAGCATGGCGCACACCTGTGCCAGGGTGTTGGTGGACCAGGGCTGGAGAGGTCCTGTGGGTGAGCAGGCAGCCCTTCCTGCAGGACCGGGAGCAGCTCAGGCCTTAGCCACCGTCCTGTGGAGTGGCCACCTGGCTGTGCAGCTGACCCCAGGCACTGGTGCAGTTGGATATGCTGATTCCCGTGCAGGGCACTGGCCATCCTCCTGGCTTTGGGGGCTGCTCTGTTATGTGACCAGCAGGCTACCTTGTCTTGTCCATATCAGGGCGAATTCCCGTGGGGACATCATGCRAAGTAAAGTGGTTTCATTTGACATTGGACCAGTCATGCAGCTGACGGTGGTTTTTTGTCTCCTCCCACCTGACATCCTGCCCTCTGTGGACACAGGCATCTGTGGGGAGCCTCAGGCCCTCCACAGCAGGAGGCAGCAGGGGTCCAGTGGGGGCTTGGGACTCTGGCTCTCCAAGTCACAAAGGCGGGCAGTGGGCCATTGGAAAGTCACGACCCAGAGCCAGCACACATTTTAGACAGCCGACTCTGTCCTTATCGATGCCAGAGACACATTTGTCCCACAGCATGATGGGCACCACGAGGCACATCCACCAACGAGGGCTGGCACCTCGTCCACCCTCTGCTGGCCTCTGTGTTGCCCTCAGCATACAAGGAACACATCATCTTTATATCTTCACAAGGCGTTTTCATGAGTCATTTTCATATATTTTAAGTCTGTTTATTGCATCCCTGCTCCCTAATCTCAAAAGTTTAATCTAGAGCCATTTATACAATTTAAAATTAAAAAGAAGTCATTTACTTGAACCTCCCAGCCAAGTGCACACCCCCCCCACACACACACACCCCTGCTCTCAGCTAGAGTCCCCTCCACCCTCCCGCAGGCCCTCCCCCAGCTCACTGGGGAACCCGACTGCTGAGCAGGCTGGGAGCACTGGCTCTGGTC